TCTATATTCGTTCTATTCTGACTCTTCGAGATCAATAATATCCATCTACAAAAAGATTCTTTCAATGCATTAAATATCAAAATCCGCGATATCCAGATTAGTTAGAATCTACAGTAGAAATCTTAGATTCATAAAATGTTTTGGAAGATTTTAGAAAGTTCCAGAGTAATCTAAACACTGTTGTTTCTGACGTGTTGTTTTCAGTCGCTTGGAAGACATATCCAATGATCTTTGACGTTCCTCCTCCCAGTTCCGATTGCTAAGACCTTGTGAAGGGGAAACGGCAAAAACCTTGATTTAAACTTACACTCATTATTTTCTTCGAAAATATATGTGAATTCCATAAAATAGAATGTATCACAAAATGCAGCGTGAAAATCTCTATAATCTACAAAGCATTGGATGCTCTTTGTTTCAAAAATAAGCAAAAATTCTGTGCATGTAATTTTCAATGCTGCGAATGATAACATTTATTGGTACACGATGAATTTCTTTTTTCCTTGTTTCACCAGTTAATGGATCATAGTTTCTAACTTTATGCCATTGCATATTATTTGGTTAATAGCATCCTACACGTATGAATGAAGACCATTGAGATCAGGCCTATTTGGTGACTATCTGTGATTGTTTGTAAAGTGCATCAAAATTTCTTCATACCATGCTAATGATTTCTAATGTGTGTGCGGCATGGTGTTGTCTTGTTGACAGGTAAAATTATTGTCTAGTAGGCGTTTGCCGTTGAATTATATTTGTGAAAGAACGATTTCAACATAATTTTCGTATGATAATGTTTTACCAGATTTAAATAATGGATGTTCCAGGAAGAATGGATTTTACTGTATTTTAATCATATCTCTTTTAATATCTATTGTTTTAGGCTTTTTTTTTTAAGATTCGTCTTTTAATTCTCTACAAAACGGTATAATTCTTATTAAGGTAAATGACATTTGTAATTTTACAAGACATGCGTCAAACAAACATTCTAACGTGAACAATTTTGTAAAACAAACTTTTATTAAATTATTATGATTACATCATACAGTTTTTTTGTATGAGAATTTCTTTCAACATAATTGATGACAACTATAAATTCGTCTCAAATTGCATAGTTAATCCGACGTATTTATATGTAGATTATTTGACAATTGATGATTCTTGACGACGAGAGAGGTGGAGTTGATTAGGCACTACTGCCGTATGAGTTGGTGGATGTGAAGCTTCGCACTACTCTCTGGTAAAATATCCGTTCTGACGTTCAGAATATTGTTTCAGTACTACTAAAATATAGAAATAGGATTTTCAGAATATACCGAACATTTTAGCAGACAGTAGTGCGAAGCTTCACATCTACCAATTCACTCAACAGTGGTACGAAGATAACTTTCCCTCTTTCATCGTCAAGAACCATCGATCGCCAAATAGTTTACATTTGAATACGTCGAACTATGTAATTTGAGACGAATTTATAGATTTTATCAATTATGTTCAAAACAAACTGTCACACAAAAACTGTATCACGCGATCAAAATAATTTAATAAAAAAATTGTTTTATAAAATTGTTCATGTTTGACTGTTTGTTTGACGCATGTCTTGTAAAATTACGGATGTCATTTACATTAATAAGAAACACACCATTTTGTTGGAAATTTAAAAGACGAATCTTTAAAAGAATATAAAACTTAAAGCAACAGATATTAAAAGAGATATTATTAAAATACAGAGAGAGGCCTATTGTTTCTAGAACACTCGTTATAATGGGAGACGTAAGATCATTTTTAGATGTACCTAACCATACCATAATTCTTTTTATATACTTAGTATCTTAGTTTATACGCCTTTGTTCGTGATTGATGAGATAAAAAAAATGTGAATTGACCATTTATCAGAAAATGCTTATGTTCACAACGCTGAAAATTGATCGCACAGAATTTTGTTTATTTTGAAAACAAAAAAAAAATAGATAATTAAAAATAAGTTTTACTTTGTAGATTGTAAAGTTTTTCATGATGTATCATGTAGTACGCGCTATTTATTTTTTATAAAAACGTATTTAGAGATTAAAATATCAAATATAAAGTACAGTCATTTCTTATAGGTCAGTCGTTAGTTAATGACAAGCATGATATATTACTGAGAGAAACAATCAAAATTATTATGACATAAATATTTTCATTTTCAAATCTATTAACATATTTTATACTCATTTATTATTAACAGTAATATTTATGAAGCAATCCATCGAAATTCTAAAAATTTTTTCGATTGAGAATGTGGTAGTTGAATTGCATATGATTTAAAGTAAAATACTTAGACTTGATTTGAGATCCTGCCACCCCTCAAAGATCGATCTTAGATCAGGTAAATTCACATCACATGAAATTTTCAGGATATATTGGAGCTGTAGTGAAAAGGCTATGGTGAAATTTTCAGCTCTACAGAATAACGGTTTCACGAGATATTCCACAAACAAAGATAAAAAATAGCTCATTTAGCAACCTAAAATTCTCTGTAGGCGATTATTCTATAGACTTAGTTCTTTTTTGTTTGAAATCCAGGCCATGACAGAGCTCATTTTTTCTAATTCTTACTCTTTCAAGGATGAAAAGTTTAATGTCTCAAAAAAAAGGCGCTCTTATTATAAAGGTACTCGTATATTATAATAGTAACAAGACTTAATTCAAAGAAGGAACTCAGTCATCCCCTGCATCTTAACATACTCTTTCAAATAAAAAAGAAGCCATTAGCTACAATAAAGCTCTTTCGAGAACTCGGGAATGCACAATGAATAATACATAAACAAAGAAAAATTGAAAAAGATTTTCCGCTTTATTTGAAACAAAATATATTCTTCAAGCAGAAAATGATGAGAATCTTTGAAAAAAAAAATGAGGTACCAAATAAAAAAAAAATCATGTCAGACCTCGGACTATCTTACCAAGCATTTATCTTAATTTTCATGTTTTTGACGAAAATTGACTTTTTTTGAAGGAGAAGAGCTTGATCTGAAGCTATCTCTAGTACGCCTTATGAATTTTCCAAGTTATAAACAAAATTTCGAAAGTAACTCTTGATTTTTGTTATTTTCTCGAAGAAGCATATGCAAGTTCTTCCTGAAAAGGGCGACATTTCTGAGAGAAAGAAAATTTTCTTTGTAACCTTGTAAATTTTGTATTTCACTGTCTAATGACAAAAATTTCACTTGAGCAAAGTTTTTCACATTATTCTCGTATAAAGGTAGTCAATCTACTGTAAAATTTTAACTTATTCCTTCCTCTTGTTCATTGATTTGAAAAAAACTTTGAAATAAGATGTTGACATCTTTCTTCTCGTATGTATGTGTGAATATTAAACAAAAAAAAAAAAGATAAGCAAATGCAGAAGAAACTATTTTCATTTGTTATGACGTGCTAGCAGCGATGTAGCCGATACAAGAAAGGAAAAATTTATCATATGAACATGTGAGAAGAAAGATAACGTAGTATACCAGTGCCTGAAGAATAGATAATGGATGAAGAAAATCGAATCATACGATTATTGCAGCAGTAATTGTCTAAGAAAATTTCAGTTCTATTATCAATAATTCAATTTCGAGAAGAAAAACTTGCTGATCAATTATTTAGTATCTTGGAGTTAATATAGACAAAGGTTTTGTATAATACAGAGAACGAAACGATTCTAGACTACAGCACATTGGCATTAAAACTGATAAATATGAAGAGAAGGTTGATCATACATGTAATAATTGAATCCTTGATCTTTGACGTATAAAAGTATTTTGTGATAAAGTACTAGAGAATTTTTACACGCACGTAGACACTCTGACAACTGAAGATGCAATGAAATCTTTAGACAGATGTCTACATTCATTTGAAGAGCTATTTCATAGTTCAACGACTGATACTTGAAATTAAATTTTGAGTCATTACATTAATGATAGGAAAACGTGGAAAGCTATAAGATCAGAAAGAAAATTTTCTTTCTCTCTCTGAAAGTCCATCTTGAAAAAGATGAACTTTCAAATGATCTAGACCATTGCTTGGGATAAACATAGAAACAATTCCAGCTAAATATACATTTGGTTCTTCGAGAAAATAACACAAATCAATAGTTATATTCGAAATTTTTCTTATAACTCAGAAAATTCATTAGTTCTTCTAGAAATAATTTGAGTACAAACTTATTTCAAGATATTTCACTTCTAATTATCGTCTACTGAACCATCATTTTCTTAGTGAAAAAGATGTTAAATATCATGCAAGATTCTCTCGTTAGATATCACAAGCATGCAAATAATTTAATACTTCATAAAATTATTATTGCATGATATGTAAGCAAAGAAAAATGAAATCTTTTTCCTTGATTATCATCATCAAATAAAATTAAAGCCTTAAGCTATTATCAGACTGTCTCATTATTATCTTTTATAATGTATCTATGTTCATATAACCCTCTGATTTTCAGTTTTTCTTAAATATATTCTTGACTAATAAGATTTTTATCTACTTTTTATAATAGAATATAAAACATAAATACACATGAGTAAATCTAATCATTATTGATTTCAATATATATGAACATAAATTGCATGATAACAGATCCTTGGAATAGTTAAGGTGATAATGTTTTACGCATCATCACCACCACTTCATCCATACTAACAATAGAAGAACAGAAGAAAAGAGAAGAAGAATTTATAGAAACAAACCAAAAATAGTTTGATGATAAAGATGCGTGAGAAATAATATATGTTCATATGACATTCGATGCTTTATTCGTACTCTTAGTATAATAGAAAAAAATGACTAGCATTTACGTTTTCTTTAATACAGAAAAAAAACTCATGCAATGATGATGTATTTTTATTCATTGGTTGATTATGTCTGAAAGGCAGATAGATCTCACAGATGAAAGAACACTAACAACATCCGAAATACACGCATACATAAACTCAAATAGAGACTGTTAATAAACTATAAAAAACTATTCCTTTTGATTTTAGATGAATAGTATCTTTAACGAAAAGAAACCTATTTTATTGAATGGATCTTCGAACAAATCAATAAAGGTAACTAAGGAAAAACATACTAAGACAAAGATATGTTTTTGTTGTCAGAGGATTATGCATTGATAATGTATAGATGCTTGTTAAATTGAAGTGCTGATTAATATAGAGAATAAACATTTTATTGAGGCTCTTGTAGAACAATCAGTATGAATGATCAGAAGTACTTGACATCAATGAATAGATTAAAAAAAAAAGTCTGATCCTTGTTTGAAAACAATATTGTGATAATGATCTATTTCAAAAGACAAGAGCCAAGAGATGTTCTTATATGTGAGTGTGTATTAGACATGCGCCTCTCAATAATGTATTCTTTTTTTTTTTCTTGTATACTTCAGACGTCAATTTCTATATTTAATGCGGGATACTAACTAATTGAACACGAGAGAATAAGAAGCTCTTGTGACTGACACATAGAAGACGTGAAAAAAAAAGGAACATCGGCTTATATCCGTATGTCACGCTTATAATACCCTTGTCAAATTTATATATGTCTTCATATTTAATGAAAGAAATAGAGTTTTAAGGGTAAATTTAAAACATAGGCTACTACACACCATCGTTATACAGATTTCAGAAAAAATAATGATAGTAATAGTAATGTCTATAATTTAAATAGATTAAGATCTATTGTATTATATGTGCAACAGAAAAATAAAAAGAATAATCGAAATATAGACTAATGTATTCATTCATTTCAATGAACATATACAAGAGAATCTATGAATTATATCGATAGTTCGTGCTTGCAAGATCAAGAATAAAAAAAAAATATGAATAGACTGTAGAGGAATTACGCATGTATACATGCTTCTAATCAACTATTATATAGTAATTCGCTCATTTAAGACCGATAGCAAAAATACTTGACATAAGATACTTCTTTTCTTCTAGTTTTCTTTGTTTACTATTATTTCTTCGTTATAGAGTATGAAACATGCAAATGAAGAAAGGGAAATAAATACTTATAGTATAAAACTTCATTTCTAGGTTGAGCAATGACATATATAACAAGACTACTATCGTTCAAGCATAATATAAATACAATTGAGTCGATATAAAGTAAAAGAAAAAATTTTAACAAACTTTTTATTTTTTTAATTTCTTGTTAACAACAACTTATTGACAATATCGAAATAATGATTTCAATAGTTATCAAAGTGGCATATAAGATTAAGGTTTGATGATTTTTCAAAGCACAGGTATTGTAGTTTTTATTACATAAGAGTTCTTTCTTCAACAGAAAAAAGGTTAACACATTTTTAATGTTTAGCCATTTTTTTCATTATTCAATAATAGCTAAAAGTTGTTCTAGATACTATTCAGTGTAGAATTTAATAGACTACATTTTTGGTAAACGAAACCACTTATGCTCATATTGACATATTAATTAATTAGAAGTTAATTAATAAAGTTTTGATTTATTTTCAATTTCTAAGAATGCTATAAGAAAGAGTATTAAAAGTTGAACAAAACTGTTTTATTACTATTTTGAAATAAATTATATCAATAAGATTTTCAGAATGTTATTAGTTTTAATTAGATATAGTCTTTATTATTTTTAAGAAATCCAATTATGAAACGAAACTTTAGATTTGTAAAATCCAACAAATTTTGAAGAGCAGTATTAGCTGTTTCAAGTGACACGTCACCATTTTCAATACATTATTCTATTCGAATTTTACACAGTCTTTACTTTTAAGAAGTAATGTAGATCAGAACTTCGAGCTATTCTTCTGCTGTTTTTGTATTCCATAATTTTGAATGATTTTGTAAAGTTCAAATAGAATAATTCATTGGGAACGGTGATGTATCGTTTAAAAACATCAAATATTGTTCTTCCAAACTTGTTGATTTTTGAAAACCTAAAATTTCATTTCAAAATTGAATCTATTAAAGATAATGAAGAGCATGTTTTATTAAAAGTTAAAATACTTTGAAAATCTTACTGAGATGATCTATTTTGAAATAGTAATAAAATAGTTTTGTTCAACTTCTAATGCTCTTTCACTTTGGTATAAAGTACTTCTTCTCAAAATGTAGTCTGTTAAATTCTGCACTAAATAGTATGTAAAACAACTTTTAGCTATCATTGAATAATGAAAAACTTGGCTCAACACTAACAATGCACTAAAGTTTTTTCTACTCTAGAAAATATTCTTGTATAATAAAAACTACAATACCTGTGTTCTGAAAAATCATCAAATTTTAGTCTCGTAGACTATTTTAAGAACTATCAAGATCATTATTTTGATATTTTCAATAAGTTATCGTTAACAAGAAATTAGAGAAATAATAAGCGTGTCAACCTTCTCCCACCTTTATTTGCCTCCCTCTCTTTAATCAGTGTCAAATTATATACGCTCAGAAGTTTTTCTATACCGCGAGTTTTCTTTTATGAAAGAAAATCGTCTTGTTTTTCTTATTTGCTATTTTTCTACTTCAATTTTTTTTCTAACTCTCATTGAATCTTATCGTGCGCATCGTCCGTCAGGCGATTCATATCCTTTTCCTCTGTCACTATTTAAATGCAACAAAGGTCCTTGACAAATTGTAGGCATAGTCTTGCCGTAAGCTACAACAATAACGTTTACTGAGCTATTTCATCACTCTAGTCTCGTCTATATTATTATGAATATATCCTAGTTACACGAAAGAATAAGAAGATGAATACACATCATCAAGATCAACATCAAGGGAGAGCTTATAAGGAAGAGAAGAGAAGTGTACTGATCATTGACTATTATACGATCTCAATAGAGTTGAATAATCAAAAAAATTGCATGATTTTTGTATAACACAAACACAGAAAATAGATAACATTTTGGATGATGACATGAGCATTAGAAAATAATGTATTCTAATTTAATTGATTAAAACGAACATTCTAATCAAACAAATATAATGAATTTGATTTTTTTTTAATTAAAATCATTGAATTCAATGAATGAAAATGTCCATTTCATCATCCACAATGTCGATTTTTTTTTGTTTTTTGATGAACCAAATTCAAATGTCATTTTAATTTAATCTTTTCAATGTTTTTAAAATTTTCTGAGTGGTAGGAATGTATATTTCTTGATTGTTCTATATTAATTTCACACATCAGTATATAGAGATAGAAACTGAAAGTCTCAAGAGCTTTTGTCGTCAACATTATTTAATTCAATGCATTGTACGTCGTGCATCAACATCAAAAGCAATTACTGAGCTTCTAACGGTGTTTTTTCTTTTTATTCTCTTTTTTTCTTCTTTTTACATTATCATTGACTCATCTTTTAGATATCAATTATTATTAGTTGTTGTTTTTTTCTTCTACCTTTTTCTCTTTCATTCATTCATTCATTCATATATACGAGCTTTGAACATCTATCTTCGTCAAAAATAAAAAAATCCTATCAGCACTCTTATTCGGATTTTACCTATAGACATTTCATTGAAGATTGTCAAACACGTTACTATTATTTGAATATATAAACTTATTTGAAACACAATGAACTTACGAGGCAAGGAGGTAGGTGATTTATTTGATCATATATTTTCAATATAGAAAAATAAAATAAAGTGCGAATAATCGATTAATATTCTTAATGAATTATTAATTAATCAAGGCATTTTTTTTAATCTATCGATATATATATATATATTTATTTATAGAAAGATAAAAATAGTTATTTACTGACATAAACATTTTTTTTTCTCTTTACATACATTGTAAAGGCAGCTGCTTTTTGATTAAGTAATCAATTGAATAGTTTATTTACTCGATTATTCTTTGTCAGTCTGCTTTTTTAAATTTCTTTCTATCGACCTTTATTACCTATTCAACGATCTTACAGGAGAATCGTTTAATGATTTTCATGAAAATGTCATAAACATCAATAGAATCAAGTGACTATTGAATGAATTTTTTTTCTGTTAATATTAGTAAATATGGAATTGTATCAAGTATGTAAAGCTGATTTCTTCGTTTTGAATTGACCTGCTAGTATAAATATCGGAGATTTTTTTTTAAAGCTTTTTTTGTGACAATCAATCAATCATGATCTTGAAAAAGAAAATGTAAGAGAATAATATTTTGATGTTATTGACAATTTTTTTTGTATACATCGACAATTGTAGTCTTACTTTTCTTTCTTTCTGACGCATTTCCGTTTATCAGATTTGTTAATGTCAGTGTGCATCGACATGTCAAATCTTCAGGACATATAGCAGGAAAAAAAAAATTTGCTATGAAAAATTCTATTTAGGATTTATATTCTCCAGCAACATCATTCAATAGTTCAAAACCATTTCCAATTATTATGGTTGATCAAGATACACGATATCGTCTTGTTTTACTTGGAGCTAGTCGTACAGGAAAATCATCTATTATTAATATGTTTTTAAATGGAAAATTTTTGGATACTTATAAAGAAACTGTTGAAGATTTGCATTATCGAGAATTTACTATTGATGATAAAACAATTAAAGTTGATATATTAGATACTGCTGGTAAATGAAAAATTCAATAGTTATATGAATTTATCTGAATATATGTATATATATATTAATTTAGGTAATATGGAATTTCCTGCAATGCGTCGTTTATCAATTGCTACATCACATGCATTTATTCTTGTTTATAGTAAGTTTTCAAATAAAGAAAAATAAAAATCTTCGAATAAATATAAATTTCTTTAACTAATTAGGTGTTGATAGTATGCCAGCATTCGATGAAGTTCGTTGTATCATTAAACAAATAAAAGAACAACGAACAAATTATGCTGAAATTCCAATTGTTATTGTTGGAAATAAAACTGATCGTACAGGTATACGTGAAGTTGAAGAACATCATGTACGAACAATGCTTAATGAACTTGGTCCATTACATTGTCGTTTTGTTGAATGTACAGCACTTGATCGTGCATCAATAATTGATATATTTCTTAAATTACTTAGTCTTGTACAATTATCTGCAGCAAGACAATTAAGTCCAATATTAAGACGAAAAGTTAGTGAACGTCTTAAGAAAAAAGAATTTGATGATAAAACAGAAAACAGTTGTAATCGTAGTCGAAGTCTTATACGAAGAACATCTATGAAAAAAAGAGGACCATCATCCAATGATAAACATTCATCTAAAACACCTGATTGCTTAATGTCTTAAAAATTCTTTATTGATATTTTTCAACCCTTTATACGTATTATCCTTTGTCTCTCTCTCTCTCTCTCTCTCTCTCTTTTGCAATAAAAATATTTGTTTTCTAAGTTCGTATTAAACTGGAATATTATTTGTTCTTGCCCATGATCGCATAATTTTAATCATTTGTTCTCCTAAAAGAAAAGAAAATAATTAAATAAAATTTTTAAGTATTTGTATATAATTATTTTTACCTTGTGGATGATTTGTATTTCGTAACAATGATAAAATATCACGAAGTGTATCTCTATCAAAGAGAACATAATTATTTTTGTTTTAGAAATTATATATATATATATATATATATGTATAGGTAATTTTTTTTACCGGGGTTCATGACCAGCAACTATTTGTTGAAATGCACCAGCACAGGCACCTTGTTTACCTTCCCAAAATTCTGGATTTGGATCCATACGTTCAAGAATATCAAAACCACGAGCGGCATAAAAAAAATGTCCACGCTAAAATGATGAAAAAAAAAAAAGTAAAAGAATAATATTCCTTCAAATTATTATTAATTTTACTTTATAACAATCATTAGCTATTAATTGAAGTAATGAAAATGATTCATTAGAATGTTCTAATTTAAGATAAAGTTCCCATGCAAGACGTGGTTTACCATTATAAATATAACATCGTGCTAACCAACTTAAATAAACATAATCATTTTTTAATTTTTCACTTTGAATAAGTAAAAATGCCTTTGCAAGAACACAAAGAAAGAAAAAAAAAAACATATTTTATTAATTAATTTATTTTTTTCGCAATATAATATTTACTTCTTCAGCTTCTTTCCATTTTTCTTCATGAGCTTTTGCTTGTGCATAATTGAAATTAAATGTATCATCATTATAAAAATAAGTCTAATAAGAGACAAAAAAAAAAAATAAGTTCAATTTTTTAAATATTAATTTGATGATATAAAGAACAAACTTTTATCGAACTTAAATAGACAACAACATCGTCGAAACGTTTATGAAGAAAATAACAGGCTGCCATACTTTGTCGCCCAGGAATGGTATCTAAATAATAAAAACAATTATTTTACTTGAAAATCGAAAAATATATTTTCTCGTAATTGAAATGAATGACACTTCTAGTTTTTAAATTTTATTGAAATGACATTCTCTAATTTTTAACATAGACACTCAATGATGTTATCAAAATATAAGTTACACATTGCAATAGTTCGTTGAAAAATAAGAAACTTTCTGATGCTCTTAAAAAGAAAATTGATTTTTGTAAGTATTGTTTTCTGATCTAAGAAATATTATATATATATTTCATGAAATGAATTCGAAATATGATCGGCATGAGGTTGAATTATTTATTTATTTACTATGAGAGTGGAAACAAAGTATATACTTCAATAAAGTCAGCCAATAGTTTTGGTACAATTTTCAGAATAAATCGCTATTGAAACAGATATCGTTGTTTATAGCAGAGAATCTGTTAAGTAGTAATTCACCGTATGATTTTTGTTTTCAATTTCTTCGGTTTATCTTTTTTGTTCTGGTAATTTATTATGAAAGAATCAACTTTGGTACAGATACTCTAAACATAAGCTTTAAGTAGACGAAACAAATCTCTTGTTTTGAATTAGATATAAGTAGCCATTTGGTACAAAATTTTCTTGTTTATATTAATGAAAAGCGATTTATTTCTCTAATATTGATAAATTATTCTTTTTATTTAGGAATCAAATCTTTATATCTATTCAGTTCTCAAATAATTTATGATTATTTTTCTTTGACAAATTAAAAGCAAGGATATTATATTAATGCATTTAATAACCTCAGGTCATATTCTAGGTCGTAATTGTTCATCCGGAAAAATAATGTTTCCCTGGATAATAATACTCAAGAAGAAATATATTTCTAAAAAGTTCCTATTATCAAATGTCTTTCTTGTTAACAAAGAATTAAATTATTCAAAAAAAGATTTTATATTTGCAAAAATTATTTACCACATTCACTTGCTGAACCACCGACTAATTGAAAATAAGATTGTGCTGTTTTAACATGATCACGCTAAACATGAGTAAACTTAATAATCTAATCTATAAAATTAAAATTTCAACAATACTGAATTATGTTCTTGTCCATAAGCAGCATTAACAACACCTTTCAATATATATTCCGCAGGTTGTAATGGTTCGACATCTTTCATTAAATCATAAGCATGATCAAGGTCATCTGAAAACATAATAATCATGAAAGAAAGAAAAACGCGTAAAGAATGATCATCTCAGTATTTTGTGTGTATCTTTCTCAATTTTTAAAGCTTTGACTAGAAATTTTTTTCTTTCAAAACATAGCTAGTAAGATTCTCTATAAAACACAATGAAAACGACTGTGCAAAAGGATAGATGGAAAGTCATACCCAGTTAACAGTACTATAGCCTGAACATGTTCACTTTCAAGTTACTGTTTTAGTTTTTAGAATTTTGCGTCGATTTCTGATCGTATATAGAAAATCTGTATAAATTACTTTGTGGTCTATTAAAAGTTCTATCATTCGAGCAAATACTTTTTTTTAGACATACTGTGCATCTTTTGCTATAAAAGATTTTATTTGGCCTTCCTAATCCGTGTTTTAAGGGATTTTTTCTTAGAGGTGCATCAAAATTTTGATTTAATTAAATCAAGTATACAATTCATACACATTCAAGTTTATTTCCAAAGTAAACGAAAGTATTCTTCTATCATTTAGATTCGAAAGAACTGCTTTAAAAATACTTCTCTCTAAATAAATAGTTTGATGAACACGAGGGTATCCATCCGATTGATAACCTCCGTTTGAGCTCATGTTTTACTCATAGATAGGATTCATAATGTAGATCAAATCTTGAAAGAGTTCGTGCACTTAGGTCTTTCTTCTCGCATTATGGATATTTTATTGAACTTCTAGTCTATTGCAGGATGCGCCGAAAATAATTGCAAAAATGAGTTTCGACCTGAAAATCTTTCCAACAATAGTTCTCATGGTCCCTGTGATATAGTGAAAGTTTCAGCTCAAACAGATGATTCCTTCTTAAGATATCGTATCTCCGAAAACTGGGGGGAATTTTTAGAACTGTCGTGTGAAAGTAACGTATTATCACAGTAGGAAAACATTTGTTTGATCTGTAACTTTCAGGATACCATAAGGACCATGAAAACTTTGTTGAGAAGAATTTCAGACCGAAACTCCTTGTTGTGATTTTTCTTTTGATATCCTACAATTGGTTGAAAGTTCAATATAATGACTATAAATCGAGAAGAAAGGCTTAATGACACAAACTCTTTCGAAATTTTTATCTATAGTATGAGGACTATCTATCTAGCAAAGTATAAACTCAAATAGAGATTATCAGTCGAATGGGATTTCTCGTAAGGAGATCCATCAATAGTTTCAACTGTTTTCACAAGAAGATTGATCATCGAAAACTCACACACTTATTTAAAGACCTTTCTTGAGTTCTATTTGAAAGAGAATATCTGAAAACAAAAGATAATTGCTTTAGAATGACCTGAAATATTTTTAGCCATACGAACGGAAATTAATTTTCTAAAAAAAAATAATGTTTGGAAGTGAACGTTTTTTTTAGTATAGTACTGCTGAAGGATATGATTTTCCGCTTATCCCTTTGCACAGCCGTTTTCATTAGATTTTATAGAGAATCTTATTAAGTATCTATTGAAAAAAAATGTTCAAGTCAAAGTTTCGAAAGTGGAGATATATATATATATATATATATTTACAAAATGCCGAGAGAGTCATTCTTTATACATCAACCATCATTGATCTAATCAATACCTTCTTTAAGATAATAAATGACCAAGTTTAAACGTGCTTCAGGAATAACATCTACTAATGGTGGTAAGACTTGAAGTGCACCTTCACCATTTTGAAAAACAACCTTTCAAAGCAAAATTTTATAATTAAAAAAAAAACAAAAATTTTTTGTTACCATATTATGACGAAATAATTCTTTAGCATAATTAAATGATGTACTCATTTTTTCAAGAAATTGTTTTAGATCATTCTAAAGAAATAAAATTTTTATTTCCTTTTAATATTCTTAAATTTGTTATTATAAGTACTTCAGCTGCTTTTCCATTATATAATCGATATTGATTACAAGCTTGTAAATTTGTTGCTGTTGCTGATTCTGGATTTTTTTTCAAGTAAACATCAAGAACTTCTTGTGATATATCATAATAATCAAGTTTATAATAACAAAGTGCTACATAGACATTTAATGCTAAATAATCACTAAAAAATATGAACAAAAACATTGTTTAATTCGAAGAAAAAAAAAATTAAAGAAATGAAAAAAAAAAAATGTATGTATATATACCGATTTTCAACTAAATAACGTTTATAAATATCTAATGCTTCTTGAAAATGACTTCTCATATAATGCATACTAGCAAGACACATTTGATCTTCAATAATATCTTGTAATTGTCGATGTAAACCCATTAATTTTTCTTCATTATTTTGTTTATGTGCAACATGAAATAAAACTCGTGTTTGTAGTGGAGATTTTGGACCTTTACGATCAATTTTAAATAAGAATTATAATTTTAAAAAAACAAAAAAAGAAATTTTCGATGAACCTTTTAATGCTGTTTGTTCAGCTTCTTCATATTTGCCTAACATAAAATAACAACAAGCAACATATATGTACACTGGACCATTTCGTGGATCATTTTTGAGAATATTTTCATATTCCTAAATAAAATATGAATATTAAAAAAAAAAAAGCTTTTCTCAAACATTAAAAATGAATTTGAGAATCAGAAAAAGAACAATGATGACGAATATTAGAGATGAATTGCAAATGAACTAAACTGAAGATAATAATCTTATGTACCTAAATATATTTGATTAACTCTATGAAAAATTAGAACATACTTCAAAGGTTCCACGAACATGCGAGACTAATTCTAACAATTATTTACAAAATGAAGAATTTTAAC